GCGCTGACTGCTGACCTCAACCCTGTAAAATTCATCTCATACAGAATATTGTTCGCTCAAGAAGTCATCAACACAAAATTAGTTTAAGTAAATGGGGGGGCGAGGGGGCGGAATTAGATATGTAGGAAGCGGGCTTAAAAGTTCGGAGAGAGCGAGATCGTTAGGGACCGGGGGGGGGCAGGGGGCGCAGGAGTGGCGAGAGAGGGGAAGAGATTGAGCGAAAAAGTCGTGGCGGCGAGAAGGGTGGGGGGTGTGCGGGAAAGCGAACTTCAGGGATAATAGGTTGGCGGCGGTTATACAAAGCAAACACGAGCAGGGGTCTAGAAGCTCATACCCAATGTCAGGGGAATGAGGTAGCGAGGAGGAGTGACACATGGAAAGAAGGCGCCGTTTTTCGGGGATTGCGGTAGGTGCGAATGTGGGGGGTTCATTAACACAGAAAACGCTTTCGACCATCGATCCCATTAGCGAGCAGATTGCGAGAGCACGAGCAGAGAAAGGGCTGCAATTCAAATCCTACAAATGACCAGTTTGGAAAAAGCAAGAAGCTAAAGCCCGGTCGAACAGCTAAATGTAATCATCAGGTTCAACCAGTGGTGATGCAACACCAACCTTCTACACCCCCAACTGTTCTCATTGTCCCCTATCGGTTGGAAATATTGCAAGGAGGGGACAGGTAGTACCGGTTTAAAAGAAATCCCCCAACCCTCCCACGGGGTACATTGCGCGCTGAGTCATCTAAGCCTAGTTCCTCGGAAAACGAAACCTAATCGTACGCAAGCTTCTCTATAAATTAATTCAAATTCCGTAGCTTATTGGTAAAATGGGGAATGTTGGAAGAAAACCGAAATATGATCATTGAATGTCGTAGCACACTGATCTCGTAAATTGGTTGAATTTGGTTTCAAAATTCAACGGCGTTTCACTGTCAACATGCCTTGCAGCCACGGTCGCATAAGTCTACCAGTATCTTCTACCTTTTGGCGCAAGGAGGATTGTAAGGAAGAGAAGTACTGACAAATTGAAGATCCAACCGCTCAGCCGCAACAAAATTTAAATCTGCGCGCTGAGCCACGTCGCAGCAAGCCCTCCAAAACAAGCTAACGTAATTGATTTCTCATATAAATTACATCCACCACTCCAGAAAAAAAAAACTGAAAAATATTCACTGAACGTCGAAGCGCACTCTTTTCGTGAATCACTCGTAGTTCAAGAATACGATGGCAATTTTGGAAAGACAAGTGATAGGGGAAAAGGGTATTAGGAAAGGCTAATGGGCAACGCTGCGATAATTTCTAAATTATCGCAAGGTTAAAAAATAGCGTTATATTGGTACTTTGCTCAAGGAAATTCTTCAGCAGAATGAATCCGAATAGGAAATTAGCACGTCCCCTGTAGCTGAATTTTCAGAGTTGTATTTTCTTTACTCTCATATCTCTGAAAAAATATAGACTTGATAATCAATACTGCTCATGAGAGCGATTTGTTGGAGCGAGGTCAGCGCTCAGCATAGCTAATTAAGCAAGGTCCAGCCGTAGGCAGGTGAGAGGGCCAGAGTACACCGCATAGGTAAACGGTCAATCTGACAATTACCTCTCCCCGTCCCGCCCTAATAGGTCACTCGCAAAATATCCGCGCATTATTCTTAATAGGTTGAATCGTACATCTAAACTGACCCCCATGAGGAGTGTGGAAAAGTGACGCACTACCACACACATGAGCTGAACCCCGCTTCACACTCCCTTTCCCTACCCTTCAGCACAATCTTCTACCTTGACCTGTGTCAGACCTTACGAATCCGTAGATTCGTGCGATTTGGGGGGAGGGGGTTCGAAAAATGCACCGGCAAATTTAGTCGCTGATTCGTTGCCGCATCTTTCGTACCCTCGAATTGCTAGCGGGACGTTCAATCGCTAGCGAATCTATCGATTTGGAGGTCTCGCTCGGCCATTGTAAGGGCTTGATCTAGGGTAAACGTCCTAAGTTTTATGAAACAAACAGGTGAAAATATGCAGTGCGTTTTAAAAGTATAGGGGCTACCCGAAAAAGCGATGTTCTGGGTTAGGATGATGGTGGATCCACGGCTCGTTACCTACTTCATTGATTTATCATACACTAAAACCACAGCCACTTCACTTCGGCACACAATATCTCCAAGAAACATTTTTATAAGAAAGTTTGCAAAAGCTCCCTGTTTCGGGAGTATTTACATATGTATATTAGCACAGGGGGCAAGAGGAACCTAAGGGTGAAAATTCCCTTCCTTTCACTTCAGTCGGGATTCATTATGTATTGGGTATGTTTGAAGAAAGCACAACCTTTACCTCTTCAAGGTGCTCTGAACGATTTGAGCTTTCTACGTGAGAACTAGTTTAGAACTACAGGGGAGCTTACCTGCATCAGAACTGCTTAACGTGGCGAATCTCCTGGTCGTATTTACAATTTTTCAAGGAAAATCAAGCCTTTCATGGAAGAGAATCTTTGGAAGGCTAAAGCGTCATTTGAATACGAATTACTTCGTCTCCAGTAGTCGTTTTCCATTTCTACCTCATCAGTCAACCAGATTTCTTTGGATTTTCTTCCTTGTAAAATTACTAGCGAACTGCCAGCTCAACTCCAGTCATCGTGCGAGAGTCTATGAAGGCTCCTTGCATGGTCAAGTTTCACGAAACAACAAGCCTCCAATTGGGTCGGAGGATTATGAGATCAGAGTGGGATTCAACAGGTGGTGCTACAGAATAGGGAAGTACCTTCATTAGGGTGACTAGTTAAGGCTCTTTTAGGTTTGGGATTTCCTTTCCGATAGGAATAAGTTCAACTTTGAGGTGTGGTTTGGATATCACAGTGGATGGAGGGATCCCAGAAAAGACCGACTGGTCTTCAGCTAGAGTAACTTCGGTGGCTGATTTGAGATGTGGTGGGCTGCAGTTGTGTTGTACTCTCCTGGCTCTTGTATCGCGTGAAACGGACTCTAGCTAGTATCGGAAACTTCTTGGTGATCATTTACTGTCGTTTATAAGTGAGAATCTCCGTGGATTTCATTTTTATTCATGACAACACGCCATCAAGTGCAGCCGATTCCCTTAACAGTGATTTATCGTCAACGAAATTAATGTTATAGGTTGACCCTGGGACGATGTGGATCGTTTCCTTCAGACATATGCGGATAATCGTTGTAAAGTAGACCTGAGTTGTTAGCAGTGAAGGCGTTGTGGAAGACTCCAGTTGCGATATTTATTTATTTATTTATTTTGTGCATAAAGGTGAAGTGGTGCAGTGGCAAGTGCACGCTCACCACGCGAGCGGTTCCGGGATCAAATCCTGGGTCGTGAGTCGCCCGGGCCAACCAAGCCTTCCATCCCTCCGGGGTCGGTTAATTGGTACCAGACTTGTCTGGGAGGATAAAAACACTGACTTGAACATCGGCTGGCCCCCGCAAGTCATTGTATAGGCCACATCGCATTCAAATGCCACTGCGAATGTACAAATGGAAGTAGAATGCGTGCCGCATCCCAAAAAGGGATTGATCAACGGCAAATGCTTTATCCTTTTTTATCCTTTATGGCTAATGGCGCCTTAACGGGTTCTATCATATTCTTGATACACTGTTTCACTCAAGCTGCTAGCAAATGTGGGTAATTATGGTCCAAAAAAATGAACGTCGCCGGTTACATCCTGAATGGTTATATGTGAGTTTAAATGTCAGACTATTCGAGAGCTTAGTGTGCTTAACTAGATGCCATAGAATCGAAGGAAATAAGGATTGGGAATTTTTACTGTAGAGATCCTCTTCAAGTGTGCCCTCATTACATTTGAAATCGGAGCAGTTCAACCTTCGTTAATAAATTGTTCATGCCTATGTTTTTCTGAAATAAAGGTAACTGTGGGATGCAGTGTATAAGAATATAATGAGTAGCAGCAGCATGAATGCTTCTTCTCCGCATTATGAACTGAAGCGTTTTTAGGCTATCATATAACTTGAAACATCCGTGGGTATGGGGCGTAAGCTTTGACGCTCTATTATTGGAGGCGGTAGCGCAGTATTCATGAGAGTATATCGGGATTAAATTGGAGTTACCCGCCGCGTCCAGCACTAAGTTCCCTGTGCACTTCTTTCGCCTGAGTGCTTAGTGGGGTTTTTCTGTCGTGTGTTTACTCGATCATTGCTTTGATAGGATGGCACTCCCGCACGTTGGTATCAAGCTTAATTCAGTGATCCTGAATTTATGTCAACTGTCCAAGATCAAGTCCTACTACTCATCTGCTCCAGGCGTTAGGTATGTCAACATCATGAAATCTATCGACAGAATCACTAACCAATGAAATTTCGAACTGAATGTTAATGGAATTCAATGACTGTCAAAATAGTTTATTCGTATAATACATGTTAAATATTCAATAAATAGAGCACTTCGTGGGAACAACTAAATCTAGAACTTGCAACGGTTACTTCGCGCCTTGCACCGGCCCGAAGTTAAGCGAAAGCTTCTGCAATGACGTGTTCTTCACGAATGTTCCCATTGTTGCGTGTATTGCGACGTTGTGGGTCCTTTCATCGCTAGCTGTATACGTGTGGAACACAAAATCGGCTGCAATATAATCTCTCAGCAATTTTTTCATATGCTCACACTGCTGAGTGGTTTTGGAAGTTCGTATACAGTATATTATTTTCTCCGTTAGCAAAACGAGAAGAGAAATAGAGAGGCATCGTGAAAAATCATTTGTTTTGTTTACACAGAAGTACGGTCAGAGGTAACGTTTCTAGTATCATTTCTTATGCACTTCTGGCGTTCTGCCATATTTTAATGCTTAGGCCTCACTTGTGCACCTGGCGACGTCTGTGTCACCGCACCTGCTTCAACTTTTCCATATAGAGGTCCGACTCCTTTCAAGTTTGTAGTAGGATTTTCAACCTGAATTAGGAACTCACCACTATAGAGTTGTATCCAATAGAATAAATGCGAGGCCATAAATAATTTTAGTTGCTCCAAAACTTTTAGAGTACAGCGCGGCCATAAGAGACTCGGTGCATTTTGATCATGAGGTACGCAGCAATTTTGTAAGGAAACCAAACCTTGCACCCGCCACAGGGGGCAATAAAAAAAGACATTTTGTCTCCAGACTCAAATGGATTTAATCACACTTTGCTCAGCTCAAGCGTGTCCCAACTTAGAATTGAAGAGCGCATTTCATTTCATAAGAAAATCTTCATAGTGGCCATCTACGTGGACGGCATCAGAAAAGTTTGCCCCGGAAACATGGTGCTCTGGTCGAGCTCAATGGGGTTCTCGATTGACCGTGTCCCGTTACGACGGTTCCGAAGGGCGGATTCTATAGGTGTTTTACATAAGTTAGAGCTAATTCTTTAAGGAAATCCACTTGAATCGAGATGCCAACGATAGAAGAGTTGAGAAAAGTAGCTCAGTGGTGGAAAAACGGGAACCTCTAAGTGTGGTGGACGAACCGCATTTTCTCGGGAATTGATGTGATCTCGGACCTACATGCGCTAACGGCGGGTATGCCATGGACTGGCTTAGCCGCGGTATCTAGCTGTTTAGAAGAGGGACGTTAAGTTGATGGGCACCAGTGAACTCGATCAGTGCGAAATCAGCGGCAGAGAAGGAGACTCCATTTCACAGTTCACGTTTTCGTGATATTCTTGCCTCATCTCCTAATAGTTAAACTATTTAAATGTGTGCTTCTAACGTGAACTCCCTTCAAGTGCGCGTGAAGTTATTATGGTACAAGCAGAGTCAACCCTGCGTTGCGCAGTTTTCAACGGCCACGTTGCGCAGTTTCGCCCGATTAGACACGTTCTCTCGCGCGAACATTCACACTCGCATGCTCGAGCCGTCTGTGTCTCCGCCCATACAGCGTGCGTTGAGGATCTCTCAACGTGCCGTTGCGAACTGCGCAACGCAGGGTTGACTCTGCCTCGTAGGGATATCGCTTGAGGATTCCTCAACGGCACGTCGAGGATTCTCTGCCCGATCAGAGACGATCTCTCGCGCGGACATTCACACTCGCCATGCCGTGCCGTCTGTGCTCTCGCGCGGATGTTCACTCTCGGCACTACTCTCGCATGGTAGAGAGCTATGGTCGAGGATTTCCTCGACCGTTATTCACCCTGCTTCCCCCTGTTTCTTGTACATGAAATACAACAAAAGATGAACGCGCTCACCAGGAAAGCTTTTCATGACATGAAGCGCTTTCTTGAAACGGTTTTTTGCATGTTATAAGGGCACACGCAGGGAGCATAGAACTGAATTGATTTTTCTGAGCGGCTCTGGGAATACCGAGAACATGTCGAAACCATGACTAGTTTGTTCGATCCGCAACTGAAGACAAATTTATGCAGTCTCTGGTTTCAATTCCTGGATGTGTGACCTTACAGTAAACAAAAGCTCAAGAAGCAGCCTGTCAACTTACAAATGCTGTAGAGTTGCTTGAAAATGGAAAACTTTCACTTATCAAGGAAAGTTTTCTGCCCTTTTTCTGACTGGCCCAGGGCCGCTCAAAGAAAGATCATCAGTTTTGTGCTCTGCGCACGTACCCCTCCAGCAAATCGTTACGAAAAAGCGCTCCATCCGAAAACTTCCTGGTCAGTTTAAACTGTGATTGTGCGCATGCATTTTTTTCCAGCTTTCAGAATATCTTTTTTACTGCTACGTCGCTTCGACCGCATAGATTTTGAATACTAAAGTTATGCTTCGAATCATAAAATTGTAAATTACTGATGCATAAGTCGTGTTATGCACTTCAAACTCTATACATGGTTAATGTTGGGCCGTAACGTTTCAACTTACAAAATCCACACTCTTTCCATTGAAGTAACATTGCCATAAGGTTTGTTGAATATTATAGATTTATCACAGGGGAATCAGTTGAAGTGGTAGTTTTCAATGAGATATACATGTACCGAGTTACCTGTAGACAAGTTTTTGATTGCCGATTTCAGCCGTACCATGTTAAGCTACGAGACGATTTTTTGAAGAGAGCTGTGAAGGAGTTTTCGCGCTCTCTCTCGTTTATGTTTTCTAATGAAGGCGCCCTAACAAGTATAGCGAGGCTAGGGCTGATATTGAGACACAGCGCAGCTGATAGTGAGCCCGCCTGACAGAGGTGAGGTTACGAAATGGAGCCTTTGAAAATATCTAACTCTTCAAGCATCCCATAGGCGCTATTGGCTCGCTGTTGTCACTAAGGATTCACATTATTGACAATTTAGGCTCACCGTGCTCATGTTGGTCAGGGCCCTTTATCGTTGCGCAGGGTCCAGATTTATTTCGAAATTGAACAAGGTGTTATTGCAATAATGGGTCAGTACTTTTCAACTCAGTAAAGGAAATAAAGATAAGCATTCAATCCCCTCTTGGGATTGCGGCACGCATTCTTCTCCATTTGTACATTCGTGGCGTTTGAATGCGATGTGGCCTATACAATGACTTGCGGGGGCCAGCCGATGTACAAGTCAGTGTTTTTATCCTCCCAGACAAGTCTGGTACCAATTAACCGACCCCGGAGGGATGGAAGGCTTGGTTGGCCCGGGCGACTCACGACCCAGGATTTGATCCCCGGACCGCTCGCGTGGTAAGCGTGCCACTTGCCACTACACCACTTCCGCCCAACTCGTATTAGGGATCGTACATTTTGGACCAATTTGAAACCTGGGTCAAAACGTAGTTGTTATTCAGCATACCCGAAGGACTTGATCTTATTATGCGACTGATAAGACTATTAACTAAGCCGTGTCAAATCTTTCGTTTTCTGCAAGCAAGCATCTCAGCGTTGCTTTCTTTTCCCAAAAGGTTTTTTGCCCACCCCGCTTAAAAAAAAAAATTTTGAACAAAATTTAACTCTATTGGGGGGGGGGATAGATTTGAACTTTGTAGATAACAGGTCGGCACATTCCAACGTATATCGAGCCAACTGTTTGATGTGAGCGTTATAAGCGCTCACTTTAGTAATGGGCAGCAAAGATCACAGACTTGTTTCGAAATTCTCGTTATGATTTTTGCTGGTGCAGATAGGAACTTTCATAAGGAGATGCCAAGAAGTCGACCTTACGCCGGTGGCGAGAATACGCTCACTCTCTACTGTTCAAACTGCGTAGATATTCATTTCACAGACTTGAAAGGCGGAGAGATTCGGAACCAGCATTCAAAAACCCATCTAGTAGTTTGTGTTCAATCACAACCACTTGAAGCTGTGATCCTCAGCTTGCCAAAGTCGCTTCAAAGTAAGTTATCAACGACTGGTGGTGTAAGAACAAGCGCAACAGGTTTCGGAAAAGGAAAAGAATATCAGATATGAGGTCTAGAATCGCATTTTCCATTTTACAACTCGAATAAGTCAACTCACTGAAGCACGAATTTCAGCTTGTGCTCTTTGCTTCGCCAAAGTAGTATCATTTGATTGCCCAACGAAATACCAGACTGGGTAGCTGTCGCTACTCTGAAATAGTATATGCAGTCCTTCAATCGCTATGAATTCTCTTGCGAGTTCGATGGTTGCGAAAGTGGCGTTTACGGTAGCTTGTGTAGATGTGTACCCTAGGTCCCCGAACTGGGAGTTATTAAACTTAAAGGAACTTAATAAAGTTAAAGCACCTTAATTCTTCACTTGAAATTAATGCAAATTTTTGGAATAAGCAAAAAAATTTTACTGTCTTATTAACAAAATTCCGCTCATTACATCCGGAGAAAGGAATCAAGTGAAAAAAGGTTCAGATCGAGAACAAACTACTGAAAGTGCGCAAGCACCGTATGTCTGGCAACTTTTGTTTGTGAATAACCTGTCCAGCAATTTATAATGAAAATCAAATGTGGATGATATTTCGTGTAATAGGCAACTGGTCTGGGCCCATATCCTCGTCGTTTTTGCTCTGAATGAGTCTCCGAATTAATCAACTGATATAACCGAAAAAAATCCTGACCTTGGGTGGAAAGTAAGTCCAGCCGACGGGTGGGCTCACATTCATATCGAACACGGGGTCTTCGATCCACTCATAGTCATCCGTGCCCATGCCTTAATATAAAACTTTATCATTACAGCAATTTCGAAAATCAGAGAGCGAGTTTAGACTCATCATTAGGAGTTTTGCCAAGATTCCTTCAAATTCCTCAACTACGCATATAAATAAATTTCTCAGAAATTCTTACTTGCTGCACATTTTGACATAAAATTACCAAGAAAAGAAAAGCGTCTCACCGCTGGAACAGCTGTGCACTGCAATAACGATAGCCGCTCCGAGAAGAAACGACAAAAGTTTGGTCATGCTGATTTCAAGACTGAGCTGAGGTCTTGAAGGCGATCATTTTATACGGCATCTGACCTGGTTGTAAATGCTTCACCCGAAGCTTCAGTTCAAGGTCGTATACGTAACGCTCCTTGAATGTTTGCTATACATGAAATCGTGGTCCGCGCCTTTTAGGGGGCAATGGCTTCTCAAAAAGAAGCTATTTCGGTATGCACCTAGTTGCAAGCAGCTCGTCGTACCTATAAATTTTGCAGTAACAATGGTCGTAGAGGTTCGGTGTTGAATGCTGAAAGCACTTGAGTTCATGGAGGGGATAGCCAGCTTGATTTTTTGAAAAACCAAGTAAAATACTATCTGTGAGTTAGTGCCTCACCCCATATGACTCACACAGGCAGCTTTCTCCCCTTACCTGAAGGCCGCTCGAGACTTGGTTGGTTTGTTGAAGATTATAGGGTACGTGGGCGGAAGTGGTGTAGTGGCAAGTGGCACGCTTACCACGCGAGCGGTCCGGGGATCAAATCCTGGGTCGTGAGTCGCCCGGGCCAACCAAGCCTTCCATCCCTCCGGGGTCGGTTAATTGGTACCAGACTTGTCTGGGAGGATAAAAACACTGACTTGTACATCGGCTGGCCCCCGCAAGTCATTGTATAGGCCACATCGCATTCAAACGCCACTACGAATGTACAAATGGAAGTAGAATGCGTGCCGCATCCCAAAAAGGGATTGATCAACGGCAAATGCTTTATCCTTTATCCTTTTATTTTATAGGGTACGAATATGTGGGCTTCAGAGAGGAGGTCAATTTTTCTCAAGAGACTTCTGAAAAGCAAACAACTAGCAGCAAAACTCTTTCGGATGCTCAAACCTGCAATATTAACCCATTGCTGCTGTGGTGCACAACAGGGTGAAAATCGTGTCAGGGATGTGCCCCCCCCCCCTAAAATTGGGGCCTTGATACGACCTCCCGATCAATATGCACGTCAAGTTCGGAGAACAATGGCTGATTCATCGTCAGATTTGTTGAGACTGAGCTCCAAATCGTGGGAATCTACACCCCTTTGAAAAGTTGCCATTCCCCATCTCATAATCTTTTGGAAAGTTATGACAGGGTTAGATAATGCTAGGTTTCTTGTTACCAACCAAGGCCGAAATTTCTCTGAAAGCTTTCCACTCGGAGATATAGGGTCCCTCAAACATACGAGTTTTTGCCGCTTAACAGGCGATAAAGAACCTCGTTCACACTGTAACGGCAATCGCAGAGAGCTGCCGCAGTGTTGCTTCCAATAGCAGTTCGCGTCGCATATCTGCGTGTAGCCGTGCTCTGCTCGAAAAACGAAAAAATATGAATCCGCAAAAAAGTCACGTAGGAGTACATCCTTGCTAAATAGATTATGTAGGCAACGCATTGCTGAAGATCACGCCAATTTCGCAAGGTCGAAACTTCTAGTTGAGGCAGAGAACAGGCGAAGTTTGAAGAGGGCAAAAAGGAAAATTGCCGAGCATCGTCTCAAGATTCCATGTTTGAAAACCGCAAATGGAACTCGCCGCTGCTCTATACCTGAAATGGAGGAAATCGTGGCAAGCTCCTACTCTGCACTGTTTAGATCGGTGCTTCCAGCCGCTAGGAAAAGAAGATTAGTACTAAACGAATCGCTGTTTC